TTTCACACCTAAGGTAAATCTCTACACAAAACTACACACACACACACACACACACATATATATATATATATATATATATATATATATATATATATATATATATATATATATATATATATATATATATATATATATATATATATATATATATATATATATATATAAACACATGCATACACACGTACATATACACACACACACACATACACACAAAATACACACACATCAACATAACACACACACACACAAACACAGTGACCTTTCGTCCTACAGATGGTTGGAATCCGAAATTCTGAAACTCTGTCTCGTCCTGACCAGGTGTGTGCACCTCTGTCCGACCCCGCTCCTGTGTTACCCCCAGATTACCCCTGTATTACTCCCATATTGGTATGTTACCCAGATTACCTGTGTTACCCTGTGTTACCTCTGCATAGTCCCTCTGTGTTACCCTGATTTGCCCCTGTATTACCTCTGATTTGCCCGTATTATCCGTGTTACTCCGTAATACAGAATGGATATAGAATCCTGGAAAGAATTCGAGGAGAATGACAAGAATCTAATCCCGGGCATTAGAACCTGAGTACAGAGACAGGTTAAAGTTAATACTGCACTCCTCGAGAGACGTAGAGGAGGCGATATGATAGAGGTGTATAAATGGAAGTCAGGCTAAACAAAGGGACATTACAAAGGCACTCAAACTATCCAACCAGAGCGAACTCCGTAACAATGGTTTTAAATTCGACAAATTTAGATTTAGGCGCGAAATAGGTAAACATTGGTTTGGAAATAGAGTAGTGATGAGGAACAAGTTACCTAACATCACCATTAACTGAACACGCTGATAGCCTTCAAACATAGGTTGGGTGGATATATGAGCAATAGGGTTGGGTGTAAATGGACTGCCCAGTATGGCCAACAGGCCCGCTGCAACTCTCCATTCTATGTTCTAGAACGCCCCGTGTCACTCCATACACACCCCAGGTTAACTCCATACCACCCCTGTGCCATCCCTGTGTCACCCCATACCAACCCCGTGTCATCCCCACACCAACCTGTGCCAACCCCATACCCCCCTGTGTCACCCCGTGTCACCCCACACCACCCCGTGTCAATCCCCATACCCCACCCCACACCTGTGCCAACCCCTGTGTCAACCCCTCATCCCCATACCCCAACCTTGCCCATCCCACACCAATCCAGCTGCCATCCCCACACCAACCTGTGTCACCCTGGGTGTCAACCCTGCGTCAACCCCGTGTCATCCCCACACCAACCTGCGTCATCCCCACATGCACCACAAGTGTCAACCTGTGACATCCCACAGGTCATCCTCACACCAACCTGTGTCAATCCCCACAACCTGCGTCATCCCCATACCACCTGTGTTACCCCCTGTGTTACCCTGTGTTACCCCTGCAAGCCACCCCATAATACCACCCTGTGTTACCCCACACCCAGCGTTACCCCATACCAACCTGTGCCACCCCTGTGCCACCCCTGTGCCACCGCCACCCCATACCCACCCCCTGTGCCACCCCATACCCCACCCCTGTGTCACCCCAGCCACCTGGTGTCATCCCCGTGTCATCCCCACACCAACCCTGTGCCGATCCCCATACCACCCAGCCATCCCCACCAACCTGTGTCATCCCCTGCTCAACCTGTGTCAACCCACCCCACACCACCCCTGTCATCCCACACCACCCCAGGCCACCTCTGTGTCATCCTGTGTCATCCTGCACCAACCTGTGTCAACCTGCCATCCTTACACCACCCCTGGTGACTCCCATAACAATCCTGTGTTACCCCTGTGCCACCCCTGTGTCATCTCTGTGCCACCCCCAGCCACCCCTGTGTCAATCCCTGTGCCAACCTGTGCCAACCCCACACCAACCTCAGTCATCCCTGTGTCACCCTGCGTCACCCCACACCATCCCTGTGCCAATCCCACACCAACCCCTGCCAACCCCATACCAACCTGCGTCAACCCTGCGTCATCCCTGTGCTCAACCCCACACCAACCTGTGCCATCCCCACACCAACCCGTGCCACCCCACACCAACCCTGCGCCATCCCCACACCAACCTGCCACCCACACCACCCTGCCCACCCCACACCAACCTGCTGCACCCTGTGTCATCCCCGTGCCACCCAAGGCCAACCCCGTGTCAACCCCACACCAACCTGTCACCCCACACCACCCCTGTGTCATCCCCACACCACCCTGTGCCAACACCCCTGTGCCACCCGTGCCACCCCATACCAACCTGTGTCAATCCCCATACCCCAACCCCTGTGCCACCCCACACCACCCCTGTGTCAACCCTACACCAACCTGTGTCCACACCACCCCACCACCTGTGCCAACCCTGTGTCCCACCCCGTGTCAACCCCAGGCCAATCCCACACCAACCTGTGCCAATCCCCACACCAACCCTGTGTCATCCCCACACCAACCTGCACATCCCCACACCTGCACACCCCACACCAACCTGTCACCCACACCAACCTGCCCAATCCACACCAACCTGGGTGCCACCCCACACCAACCCTGTGTCACCCCACACCAACCTGTGTCATCCCCACACCTCAACCTGTTCACCTTACAACCCTGTGTCAATCCTGTGTCATCCCCACCCACCCCACACCACCGTGTCAACCCCACACCAACTCTGTGCCACCCCTGTGCCACCCCCAGGTGTACCCATACCACCCCAGGCCATCCCACACCAACCCTGTGTCAACCCCACACCAACCCTCATCCCAACCAACCTGTCATCCCCCACACCAACCCGCCAACCCACAACCCTGTGTCACCCCACACCAACCTGTCAACCCACACCAACCCAACCTGTGCCAACCCCACACCCCTCCACCCCACACCCCACCCAGGCCAACCTCGTGCCAACCCTGCGCCACCCCACACCACCCCTGTCCCCACACCAACCTGTCATCCCCACACCAACCTGCCCCTGTGTCATCCCTGTCACCCACACAACCTGTGTCAACCCACACCACCCCTGTGCCCCACACCACTCCTGTGTTACCCTGTACTCACCCCTGTGTCAATCCTATACCACCCCAGGTTACCCCTATACCACCCCACACCCCCCATACCCCACATCCTGTGTTACCCTGTGTTAATCCCTGCACTAACCCCAGGCACCCCACAATCATACCACCCTGTGCCAATCCCCATACCACCCCAGGTCACCCCATACAACCCTTGTCACCATACAACCTGTGTGCCATCCCCACACCACCCTGTGCCACCCCATACCAACCCCTGTGTCATCCCACACCACCCCAGGCAACCTGTGTCAACCCCGTGTCATCCCCACACCCAACTCCCCAGGTCAACACACCAACTCTGTCACCCCACACCAACCTGTCATCCTCACACCACCTGTGTCACCCTACACACCATCTCCAGGTCTCACTCCCATGCTAAGCTCATCCTCCTGTACAACTCCCTTGTGTTCCACTCCCTGTAAGCCACCCCACACCTCAACCTGTGTCACCCCATACCATCCCCACAGGTTAACCCCATAATACCCACCCTGTGCCAACTCGTGTCAACCTGCGTCAACCCCATACCCCAACCCTGTGCCATCCCCACACCAACCCAGGCCATCCCCACACCAACCTGTGTCACCCACACCAACCCCAGGCCACCCCACACCAATCCCCGTGCCAACCCACACCAACCTGTGCCAACCCACACCCGTCAACCTGTGTCAACCCCACACCAACTCAATCCCACACCAACCCTGTGCCATCCCACACCAACCCTGGTGTCACCTGCGTCAACCTCAGGCCATCCCCACACCAACCTCAGTGTCATCCCACACCACCCTGGTGTCAACCACACCACCCCAGGACACCCCACACCCCCTGTGCCACCCCACACCAACCAGCCAACCCAGCTAACCCACATCCCCACACCACCCCCTGTCATCCCCACACCCCTGTGCCAACCCCACACCAACCCCGTGCAATCCCCAACCCCACACCAACCCTGGTGCCAACCCGTGTCAACCCTGACCACCCCACACCAACCTGTCAACCCCACACCAACCTGGGTCAACCTGCGCCCACCACACCCCAACCCCACCAACCCCTGTGCCACCCCACACCAACCTGCGCAACCGCCACCCCTGCCATCCCCACACCAACCTGTGCCACCCCACACCACCTGTCACCCCACACCAACCTGTGCGTCATCCCCACACCAACCTGTGCCACCCCACACCACCCCACAGTGCCACCCCAGGTTACCCCAGCGCCATCCACACCACCCCTGTGCCACCCCTGTGTCACCCCAGGCCACCCTGTGTCAATCCTACACCCCAGGTTAACCCCACACCAACCCCAGGCTACCCCTGCGTCATCCTGCGACAACCCCACACCAACCCATCCCCACACCAACCCTGTGCCAACCTAGTGTCCCTGTGTCACCCCACACCCCAACCTCATCCCCACACCAACCCTGCGTCAACCCCCCACACCAACCTGCTCAACCCACACCAACCCCAGGCCCAACCTGTGCCATCCCACACCAACCTGTCAATCCCACACCAACCTGCGTCACCCCAGCCCCCACACCACCTCAGTGCTCAATCCCCACACCAACCTGTGTCAATCCCTGTGTCAACTTGGTTACACTTATCAACTCTTACACCCCTGTGTCAATTCCCCATACCACCTGTGTCATCCCCATACCAACCCCTGTGTTAACTTACGTCATCCCCATAACCAACCCCTGTGCCAATCCCCACACCAACCTGCCAATCCCACACCAACCTGCCCCAACCTGTGTCATCCCCAGGTCCCGTGTCAACCCCACACCAACCCCAGGCCAACCCAGCCACCCTGCCACCCCTGTGTCAACCGTGACACCCCCACACCAACCCCATCCCACACCAACCTGTGTCAACCTGTGCCACCTGTGCACAACCCCACACCAACCTGTGTCCCCACACCATCCCTGTACACCGTGCATGCCAACCTGTGTCAATCCCACACCAACCTGTGTCACCTGGTCACCCCATACCAACCTGTGCTCAACCTGTGCCAATCCCTGTGTCAACTCCACACCAACCCGTGTCAATCCCATACCAACCTGTGCCAACCTGCCAACCTGCGTCACCCTGCGTCATCCCACACCAACCTGCGTCAACCCAGTGTCATCCCACACCACCCCTGTCACCCCATACCAACCCTGCGTCACCCCACACCATCCTCACTGTGCCCAACCCTGTGTCATCCCCATACCAACCCATCCCGTCAACCCTGGTCCACCCCACACCACCCTGTGTCATCCCCATACCATCCCTGTGTCAACCCCAGGCCACCCCTGTGTCAATCCCTGCGTCAACCCCACACCAACCTGTCAATCCCCGGGCCAACCCATACCAACCTGCGTCAACTCCACACCAACCTGTGTCAACCCCACACCATCCTGTGTCAACCTGTGTGTCATCCCTGCCAATCCCCACACCAACTCCCCAGTGCCAATCCCACACCAACTCCCTGTGTCAACCCTGCCATCCTGCCAATCCTGTGTCCCCACAACCAACCTGTGCCAACCTGCGTCAATCCCGGTTCAATCCCACACCAACCTGTGTCATCCCTGTCATCCTGCGCCACCCTATACTCACCCCCAGGTTACTCCTATACTACCCTGTGTTACCGTGTTACCCCTGTGTTAACTCTATACTACACCCCAGGTTACCCCTGTGTTATCCTTATACTCATCCCCAGGTTAATCCCTTGTTCATCCCCCAGGCCACCCCCATACCAACCCTGTGCCATCCCCAGTTCAACCCTGTGCCAACCCCATACCAACCTGTGCCAACCCTGTGTCAATCCTGGGTGTCATCCCCACTATCCCTGTATCACCCCTGTGTCAACCTGTGTCATCCCATACCACCCCGTGTCAATCTCTATACTCAACCCAGGCCACCCTGTGTCATCCCCAGGCCATCCCATACCACCCTGTGCCATCCCAATACCACCCAAAGCCACCTCATACTCACCCCTGTGTTACCCTGTGTCACCCCTGTTCACTCCATATCTACCCACACTCCTGTGTTACCTTGCGTCACCCCACACCAACCTGTGTTACCTCTATACCAACCTGTGTTACCCTACACCACCCCAGGTTACTCCCTATACTCACTCCTGTTTACCCGTGTCACCCTGTGTTCACTCCCCATACCACCCTGTGCCACCCCATACTCACCCCTGTGCTCTTGCACCCCAGGACCCCATACCACCCCAGGCCACCCTGTGCCAACCCCAGTACACCCCCATACCAACTCTGTGCCACCCCATACCAACCCCTGCCAACCCACACCACCCAGGCACTCCCACACCATCTCAGGTTATCAACCACCCCTGTGTTACCCCATACCAACCTGTCGTCACCCTGTGTCACCCCTGTGCTCACCCCATACCACTCAATGGTGTAACCCCTTACTCAACCTGTCATCCTATACCCACCTCTGTTAACCCATACCACCCTGTGTTAACTCTGTGTTCATCCTGGTGTCATCCTTATACCAATCCCCAGGTTAACTCCCTGCTCCCTGTGCCATCCTGTACCAATCCCCGTGTCACCCCATATACCAACCCCGTGCCATCCCCATACCCCAACCCTGTGTCACCCCTGTGTCACCCTGTGTCATCCCACACCAACCTGTACAACCCTGTGTCAACCCCACACCAACCTGCTAGTGTCAACTTACACCAACCTGCGTCAATCCCACACCAACCCTGCGTCAATCCCCAGTGTCAACCTGTGTCATCCCCACACAACCTGCTGTGTCATCCCCACACCAACCTCAGGTCAACTCCACACCAACCCTGTGTCATCCTCACACCAACCTGTGTCAATCCTGTGTCATCCCATACCAACCTGCGTTACCCCGTGCCACCCCATACCACCCCTGTTAATCCCATACCATCCCTGTGCCACCGCAATGTCACCCCTGTACAACTTACACCACCCCAGGCCACCCCATACCACCTGTGTCATCCCGTGTCAACCCCTGCATGCCAACCCCATACCAACCCTGTGTCAATCCCACACCAACCGTGCCATCCCCACACCAACCCAGCCCAATCCCTGCACACCCCACACCCACCCTGCCCAATCCCCATACCAACCCTGTGCCCATCCCACACCATCCCTGGTCATCCCAGTCAACCTGCGTCATCCCAACCTGCGTCATCCCCACACCAACCTGTGTCAACCTGTGCCAACCTGCGTCATCCCACACCAACCTGGTGTCATCCCTGTGTCAATCCCACACCAACCTGTGTCAACTACACCATCCTGTGTCATCCCCTGACACACCCCACCCCTGGTGTCAATCCCTTACACTTCAACCTGGGTGTCAATCCTGTGTCAACTCCGTGTCATCCCCACACCAACCCCAGGCAACCCCAAACCCAACCCGTGCCAACCCCACACCAACCTGTGTCAATCCCCACACCAACCTGTGTCATCCCACACCAACCCAGCCAATCCCCACACCCCTGGGTGTCAACCTGACACCAACTCCAGTCACCGTGTCAACCTGTGCCAACTCACACCAACCCTGTGTCATCCCCACACCAACCCTGTGTCAACCTTACACCAACCTGTGTCAATCCCACACCAACCTGTGCCACCCTGCGTCATCCCACACAACCTGCGTCAACCCACACCAACCAGGCCATCCCACACCGGTGTCACCGTGTCATCCTGTGTCAATCCTGTGTCATCCCCCAGCACTCCATACCCCAATCCCCAGGCCAATCCCACACCAACCTGTGTCAATCCCACACCAACTCTGTGCCATCCCTGTGCTCCCCACACCAACCTGTGTCAATCCCCACACCAACCCTGTGCCAACCCCACACCAACCCCTGTGTCATCCCACACCAACCTGTGTCAACCCCACACCAACCTGTGTCAATCCCATCCCTGCCATCCCCACACCAACCCCTGATCACTGTGTCATCCCCACACCAACCTGCGTCAACCCCTGTGTCATCCCACACCAACCTGGTGTCAACCTGCGTCAACCCTTACACCAACCCTGTGCCAACCTCTATACCACCCTGTGCCACCCCATACTCACCCCCAGGCCACCCCAGGCCTGTGCCACCCCCAGGCCACCCCCACATACCAACCCAGGCCAATCCCATACCAATCCCTGTGTCAACCTCTTACACACCCCTGTGCCACCCCAGGCCACCTGCAGGCCATCCCCACACCAACCTGCCAACCCCACACCAACCCAGGCTCAATCCCACACCAACCTGTGCCCAATCCCACCAACCTGTGCCCATCCCTGTGCCAACCCCTGCAGCCATCCCCACACCAACCTGTGCTCAACCCCACACCAACCCTGTGCCATCCTGTGTCAACCCTGTGCCAATCCCTGTGTCAACCTGTGTCATCCCACACCAACCTGTGCTCAATCCCCACACTGAACCTGTGTCATCCCTGCGTCAACTCCCACACCAACCCTGCGTCATCCCACACCAACCTGTCATCCCT